CAACTAGAGCTTTTCTAAGACACAGCCCCTTCAATACAGTTCTTTATGTTGTGGTGCCCCCCAGCCATAACATTATTTTGGTTGCTACTTTATGACTTATTTTGCCACTATTATGAATCATATTGTAAATATCTGATGAGACCCCCCCCAAGGGTCGACCCCTAGAGGGATTGTGGCCCACAGGGTGAGAACCACTGCTGGAGGCCCTTGAATTATGTAGGTTTCTCACCCTCCCTTCTCGCAGAGTTGCTCATCAAGGGGTGAGGTGATGTGACCACAGGCCAGGCTCTAAGCCAGAGTAGGACATGGCTGAGACGCCTTTGGTGTTGACTGGGAGGACAACGCCGTCATCTACCCTCTAACCGGTGCACTGCTGTGACCTAGGCTCAGCCTTTATGGGATCAGGGCTGAAGACTACCCTGGGCCTAGGTCCTTTTCTGGTGGTCTCCCTGGAGACCACCATAGCAGGCAGGGCAGTCCCTGAAGCTGTCTGAGGCCCTCCAGGGGCCTATTAGTCCAAGCAGTGCTGACTGTCCTTAAACCCCAGAGCCATGAAGCCCATCTGGCCCCTGAAGCTATGAGCATGGGAGGTATCTTAGGGTTTCTGTGGTTGTGATGAAGCACCCCCAAAGCAACCTCGGGAGACTCAGCAGTTTATTTGGCTTATATAACAGTTCGTTAGAGAAGCCTGGGCAGGAACTCAAACAGGGCAGGAACCTTTAGGCAGGAGCTGATGGCCATGGAGAGGGAGAATTGCTGCTTACTGGCTTGCTCTTCATGGCTTATTCAGCCTGCTTTCTTATAGAACCCAGGACCCCCGGCCCAGAGATGGCCCCACCCACAATGGGCTGGGCCTCCCTCATCAATCACTAAGAAAATGTCCTACAAGCTTGCCTGCAACATGACCTTATGGAGGCATTTTCTCCAATAACTAGCCTGTGTCAAGTTGGCATAAAACTAGCCGGCATAGAAAGCTCCCCGCAGTGACCTTTGCTCCAGAAACTTGGGGCAGAGATGAGTTTGATTAGCAGCCTGGGCTTAGACATCTAGGCAACTATGGAGATGGTTCCAGACCCCTGCCCACCAGAGGGTGAGGCCCCACCAGCTGTCCCTTCCCCAGGAAACCTTTGTTCCCACAGCAGCTTCCAGATTGTTTTAGCCATCCTGGGGTGTGCAGGGATGCCTGGGCCTGAGCCACCCACTTCAGCTCTTG